AGGGAGCAGTCTCGCAATTTCTCCCTTATTGTTATATCCTGTTTTTAGGTCAGTTCATGGTTGAACTATGCAACTGAGAATTCAGCTGGTGTTGTGGTTCCAGGCTATGGATTGATAACCCCTGATACTGAGCAGACAACATCTTTCAACATCAACATCTTTCAAATCCGTTGCCTTGTAATATGGATCTTTTCTGACAATCAGTTAAACAACTGGTGTGCCAAATGGTTTCAAACTCCAAAGCCGATTTGTAAGGGTCACAGTAACACAGCAGGTGAACAGCAATGCACGATACAATAACATACCTGCGAAATGGCTCCTGGATCTCTTAGATCTGCAGTATACAGGGTTACACAACCAAGAATCCCCCTACCGTTAACAAAAAGATTGTGGACTGCAGCCCCCTGTAGGAAAATGTATGCAACAAGGACCAAATATTTATATCACAAGACTAGCCCTTGCATTGCAAAAGCTCAATCAGCTTTAAAACAATCCAGAATAATTTTAATAACTATGCACTTCAAACATAAATGTAAAGTATGAATTCCCTATAATTTGACACTTCTCTGTAATTGAAATGTGAACGTTTTTTGTATGGACAAAACACAATGTCCCGCATTACGTGTAGAATCTGATGTTCTGGAGAAGGGTTCTGTAAACGTGTGAAAAGGCCCTAAAATGGCTAGCGTGATGTGACTGTGACATGAGATTATTAATATATTGTAAAAACAGAGAAATGATTTCGTCCTATGTGAGAAATAAAGGGGACTCGGGCCATCACAGGCTATTGCAAATTCTGAATGCTGCCAAGTTGTGTCTGAAATAAGTATAAATTCTATAGGACTTTCTGGCCAACCTTTGATACGAACACAGAAAACGGTCACTGTTGTACTTATTGTCTCTTCTAAAACCGCTCACATTACTTTCATATTTTATAAAACGTATTTCTGTTTGTTTTGTACAATTCCCGAAAACTTGTGTGTAAAACTTTATTTGGGCATTGTTAACCTTTTATGAGAATGATGCAATGATCCTTACCGTTCATAACAACACTATGCAATACAATGTATTAAATGCAAGACAAAAACTACGTAAACCACAAGAACAAAATAAACACAGCGCCGAAACCCTGCACAAAAGGCATGCGCAAGTCCTCCTCAAGCGCATGCGTATTTGATTTATCAAGTGCGTCTCGCCTTTTGACTTCCTGGTTGTCGCAGGGAGTTTTGGGAATTGTCGTTTGCAAACGGTATTATCCAACTAATTCTTACGCGAATCCACGGCCTGTGGAACTACAATACCCAGCGACAAAAGCGAGAACACTGTTTTGATTTGATAAGGTACAGTCATCATTCAGAAGGGAAAGCCGGTAGATCATGTGTACTGAGGTGTTCCTAACCAGTTACATGAGTCCGAAGAGTATAGTTTGTTAAGAGGATGGCGGGGGAAATGTCAATACTAGGTAAGAATCATCTGCTGTGAGAATATTACTTTAACACCGCTAGATCTAATGGAAACGCTAAAAGCTTTGACCATTTGAGATGGACTAACTGAATTGTTTTCCTGATATTAATTGACTAAAAGGTACCAGACTCAGTCGAAACCAAAGAGCTACCATTTTGTATCTCCAAAATCTTAAAGCGATGTTCATATATTGTCTTTCTTGGCGACGTTTAGTAGCGGTTGGTTTGCAAAGATTTAGTTCTTTGAATCCGCGTGATTGACGTATAAAAAAAACGCAGAGCTGATCAACAGAAGTTGATGGTTCTCGGTCGCTGAAAACACAGCTGATGTGGATGTCGTGTTTATCCAGAGCGATTTGCAATTCATAAGACAAACGCGATATACAGTAAATTAAAAACTGTAGTAGCCGCGAACCAGCTTACAGAGGGCAACACTAAGGAGTGAGTCTTCTCAGAAACTGAGGTACAGTATTGCACTGTCTCTCATCCTGGTCCTCGGTTGCGCCTGTCTGTGCTCGGGTTTGTTTCAGCCGGTCCACTTGGTTGTCTTGTTACACTTTTTTTTAACTGTTGTCTTTAAAATATCCGTTTAAACGCATTATTTCTAACGATTCGAGCGCACACAACTTTAAGTCTCTCGCCGACTTGTTAATTATAAATAAGGAAGCGAGTTAATTAACAAGTTCTTAATAAGAGGCCAGCTGATGATGAACACACACATGGGAATCGGGCTGAATCAGACAACTTGCACGCTAAATCGAGATTATTCCTTCTGCTTTTGTCACGTCGGTGATATTTCAGCTGAACACCACATTTGATTAAAAAAAGCCTTCAAATAGAAAGTTGGCAATTCAGGAGTTGGAACAAAAACGACAATGGAAGGTTGGAGAAACACTGCTGTGGAGCAAAGAAAGATACAGACAAGCTGCCAAGTATTGTTTTAAAGCATATTTAGGAAACGGTTGTCAGGTGAGGAATCCAGTGGTTTGATCCTTCAGTGAGGAATACAAGGTGCAGCATTGACAGGTTAGTTTCTTGTTTAATTCCTGGCACCTGGAGTGAGATACAACACATGTAGTTGCATTCAGACGTTGTATTTTTTTCATGAAATTTCAGTTCTGAAGTTTTGACTGCTTTTGCCCTGTTTTACTGTGAAAAGGGTGAGGTTGCAGGAAGTTGTATGTTTCATCCCTGGTGCACAGGGACAAGAGGAGGAGAAGCAGAGCTCGACTGCTGCCCAGCTGGCCTGGCTGAACTGACCTGAACCTGATAAGCACAGGATCAATAGGCCAGATGTCTCCAGTGATGTTGATATTGGTGTAAAAAGGTCACTTTTTTCTGTCCCGTGGTTTGGAATGTCTTCCAGGGTCGGCAGTCCTAGCCCTTTTCCTGGCTGGGTACTTGGGCCAGCAGTATTTGCCACCTCCAAAACCCAGAGTGATTGGGCTGGACCTGGGCACGACGTTCTGCTCCGTGGGGGTGTTCCACCCTGGAGTGGGGGACGTGGAGGTGATCGGGGATGAGGAGGGGCGGAAGAGCATCCCCAGTGTCGTGTCCTTCTCCCCCTCGGGAATCCATGCTGGATACGAGGCGCAGGAGCTGGCTGACGCCAACCCTTACAACACCATCTACGATGCCAAGAGGTTCATTGGCAAGCTTTTTAAACCCGAGGAGCTGGAACGAGAGGGCGCTCAATACCAGTTTAAGGTAGATCTCACAACGTCACTTCTTGTGTGCTGTGTGTGATGTGGCTTCGCATGAATGAGCAGGGAGGACACCGTTTCACCTCCTGATTGTTACAGCAGTGATGCACGAGAATTATTGTCAATAACGCATGACACATGCGATTGGAGCCGTAATCAGAATATTAAAATTGAAAAATGTAACAAAATACAGAAATCTTTGCATTTTTAATATTTTAATACAAATTGGCTCATATTGTCAGGTCTTCACATTTCATCCTTTTCCTAAGAACCGGCAGATAATGTTGCACAAGTGATGCCAGAGCAGCATGAGCTTGTTGGATGACAGTGATTAGCTCTAGAAGATGACAAGAAAGCTCTTATTATGTGCCTTTTCAAAAGCTGGTGGTGTCTTCTAGGTGGTATACAACAACAGGAGTGCAGAGTTCTCAATATCAACCAATCGCACGTTCACAGTCACTCCGGAGTTCATCGGCTCTCGCCTCCTGCTGAAAATGAGGAAGATGGCGGAGAAGCAGCTGGGAGTTCCCATCACTAAGGCCGTCATCTCCGTGCCTGCAGAGTTTGACGAGAGACAGAGGAACTATACCATCAGGGCAGCCAACCTTGCAGGTAGCTCTTCAGATCTCCTTCTTTCCTTTCCTGACGGACGCATCTCATAAAAGACCTTGCAAATGCAAAATATTGCCTTAAAATATGGCGCTCCCTGGTGTGAATCTGAGAATAGCTGAGAAGAATAATTGCTTACACTTCTGTAGCACTTTTCTGGACACTCCAATCAAAGCACTTTACAGGTAATGGGGTCTCCCCTCCACCACCACCAGCGTGCAGCCCCACCTGGATGATGCGATGGCAGCCATAGTGCGCCAGAACGCCCACCACACATCAGCTATTAGTGGGGAGGAGAGCAGAGTGATGAAGCCAGTTCAGAGGTGGGGATTATTAGGAGGCCATGATTGGTAAGGGCAAAAGGGGTAACAACTGTTCTCTTTTTGAGAAACACCCTGGGGTTTTTAATGACTACGGAGAGTCAGGACCTCGGTTTTACGTCTCACACGAAGGATGGTGCCTTTTTACAGTATAGTGTCCCCGTCGCTATACTGGGGTATTAGGACCCAGACAGAGGGGTGAGTGCCCCTACTGGCCCCTCTAATACCTGTTCCAGCACCAGCTTTAGTTTTTCCCGGGACGCCTGCTATGTAGTTACTGACCAGGCTCACCCCTGCTGAGCTTCAGTGAGTTTCAGAGTGATATAGCTTTTCCTGAAGTTAAAGAAGAAGATAAGGAATGGTTTAGACATAAGTGTTTATTAAACTGTAGTGAATCACAACTTCAGCTTGGTCTGTGTGCATAACCTGCCTCGTGTCTGGCTTTGTTAGGTCTGGACGTCCTGCGGGTGATCAACGAGCCCACTGCTGCCGCCATGGCGTATGGGCTCCACAAGGCCGATGTCTGCAGTGTGCTGGTGGTGGACCTGGGCGGAGGGACCCTCGATGTGTCCTTGCTGAACAAGCAGGGGGGCATGTTCCTCACAAGGGCCATGGCAGGTAGGATGATTGTGGAGGATTTGCAGAAAGCTTAAAGAAAGCTGTGGCGCGTGCCCTGGTGGCTTTCCTCTTGTCCGGTTGTGTCGTAGCTCTGCCTGTGACTTACTGGTTTTGCAAACTCGGGAACGGCAGTGTGCTTCCTCTGTTCCATGTGGTGTTAGTCGCTCACTGACCCGCGGTCTTGTTCTGACACTGCGCAGGGAATAACAAGCTGGGGGGCCAGGACTTCAACCAGCGGCTGCTGCAGTACGTGGAGCAGCGAGTCCGCCAGCGGCACGGGGCCCTTCCGTCGCGCAAGCAGGACAGGCACCAGCTCCGGCAGGCCGTGGAGCGGGCCAAGCTCAGCCTGACCCTCCAGCCCAGCGCCGTGCTGCGGGCCCGGCTCGGGCACGAGGCCGGGGGCGTCCTGTTCGAGGAGCTGATCACCAGGGAGCTCTTCGAGCAGCTGAACGTAGACCTCTTCCAGAAGATCCTCACCCCCATCGAGGAGGTGCTGAGGGAGGGCCAGCTGGACAAAAGGGAAGTAGACGAGATCGTCCTTGTTGGGGGCTCAACCAGAATTCCCCGGATTCGCCAGCTCATCCGCGAGTTTTTCGGGAAGGAGCCCAACACCTCTGTGGACCCAGACCTGGCGGTGGTGACTGGTGTGGCGATTCAGGCGGGGATAATGGGCGGCTCCTGGCCACTGCAGGTCAGCGCTATCGAAATACCCAACAGGCACTTACGCAAGACGAACTTCAACTGATGTCCTTATTTATTTTTATTGTTCCCGGACGCCATCTCGGCTTTCCCCAGGATCACCGTGTATGTTCCTACAGGCCGAGCTGTTCCTGATAAGTAGTTTGCTTTGTACGGCATTTGAATTAAAAGAAAACATGAACCAGCTTACCAGCTCACTTCAGAACCATGTCATTCCAGATAGTTATGAGTTTGTTTTAAAAATGGTCAGTCCGTGCTGAGGAATAAACTCACAGGTTTTATTAAAAAATGCAAAAAGATTTGTAAGTACAGCTTGAGTCCCCGAGCGTCACGGAGACGTATTGAAATGATTTTAACTTTTAAAATGCTCCCTCGTCGTACCTGCTGAACTTCCAGAGCAAGGCCTGGGGTGAAAGCCTTGTGTTATATTTCTGTAATAATGTTCTGGCCAGAGGGAGAGGACAGATCCCCCTGCCCAGGGGACATCTGCACCCGAGGGACAGATCTGCGATGTTGTGGGTATTTGGGTGCATGAAGGATCTTTCGTGGGATCAAATTCTGTGTTAATGAAAACAGAATTCTGCCAGACAGTTTTTTGATGATTGATATGTACTTACAGTAACTCTGCCACTGAGTTTCCGTAATTGTGCTTTTCCTGAGGGAGTAAAGTGACTGCATTTCTCACTAAAACTGGTGAGGAAGAGGAAACAAATAGTAAACTGTTAAGCGGTTTTGAAGCTTTCAGACATATGCTAAAGGACCCCTGGACCGAGGTACTCCTACCCCACCCTGGTGTTTTGCTGTGGGGCTTTTATAAGGTGCAGCAATTTGCTACTTTTCACTTAAAAACTCACTGGGAAGATATTTGGTTGTTGCTTGCAGGTCTATGGTTTAAAATCCAAAAAGAGCTTTTATTTATAACTGTGTGGACATCTCATTCCATCCCCTGCTCTCACTGTCCCATCTTTGGTGTCTTCTTGAAAAAGAAGCTTTAGCTCCCCCTGCTGGCGACCTAACTCCTGTGAACTCAGAGCTGCAGAAGACTGAGACTGAGTGCATTTCATCAAACCTAAGAAAGTGTTTTAATTTGCTTTATGCTTTTGTTGCACAATTGTATAAAAGGAAAGCCTAAACGTATGCAGCAGTCAAACTGGTGATTTTGTGTAAGCGACAATGTGCACTCCGACCTTATTTGCAAGCAAATTCAGAGAACTGCAGTAAACGTGGAATACATTGTTAAACTGCCCGAGTGCAGGTCAGTTACTTAATGGGGTAGGATGCCGCTGTCTCTTAAAGAGCAAACTTCACCCTGAACATGAAAACAAGACAGAATATCCCTCACTAAATGGACAGCTAAGCTGCGGCTCTTAAGGAATCATTTAACCTGTTCATGCCATAAAGTAAACTGGTGTCCTTACTGTACAGGGAATAACTACAAAAAGAGTGCCTTTTTTTAGTCTTTTCAAGAATAGTAGGGTTAATACTTCAACCTTCAATCTAGGTTGGGGTAAACAGTGTAACCTTACCACACAGAGTGACGGAGGTTTCACCATGGAACTTTTTTCCAGCATACTTGACAGGAGAAATGGGACCAGTCTTGTCATTCTCCTTTGTTTTGTGGACCCACTGAATGAGGGTTAAAGTAGGTTGGTGTTTAATTCTGTAGCAGGTAATGGAAGTTTAAAACAGCAGCTGGACACTGTCTGTCTGAATTCAGAAAATGTGAATATATTTGTGGACCTGGTTACTCATTCCAATGAAGACTAAGGTTTTCTGCTGTATGTAAAGGAGCTATTTTAGTAATTATTTTCAGTTTACAGCTGTAATGTCTATATATATATAGGGGAAAAAATAAATCTGGAAATGTATCTGGTCTGTATTCAATATCTCTATTAGTGTGACAAAACTTTAGCCTGTTTCTTTCTGTATTTTGCATATACATCTAAACAGGATTATGGTGTTCAAAAGTGAATCTTCTAGATTCTCCTCGCTGAAGGACAACTGTTTTACTCATGTGAAAGATGGGACTGCTTATTAATATATTCATTTACTGAAGGGGAAAAGTACCATATGCAACCTATTGCATAGCAGGCAGAAATTAGACTATAAAATGTACCAAACTCCTCCGCGTTGGGCCTGTTGTGTACACACTCAATGTCGGACTCGAGGAATGTGGAATCAGGAAGGTCTGTAGAGGTCATGACTGACTGACACCTCCACGGCCGGCAGTCCTGTGGGGCACGTGCTCAGCTGCGCCTAAGCCTTGGCACAGCTTTGAGCAAAGATGGTGCTGCTATGTTCTTTACAAACATCTTGGACGTGTCAAGATTTGGGTTCTCAAGAGCACAGTACCTGTAGATTTCTATTTATGTTTGGAGAAAACATTTTAATAACCTGCATAAGAAATAAATCAGTATGTGGATGCTCGTTTTGAAGCGGGACATAAAGACGTTTTGGGACTATTCTGGATGCAGGACTCCCATCCCACTTACTGCACACTACAGATCATATTGTCGAGCTATTTCAGGGCAGCGAAGCAAGACGATTCTGGAACTTATCACAAGAATCATTTTGCCTGATGTAGCTACCCTTTTATTCCACTTCAGTTTTACTTTGAAGAGGACCGCTATGTGAGGTGTTCCTTGTACAGATGTAGATTTGAGTTTAAGGGTCTGCAAAACACCAGTCTCGAATCTGGTCCATGCAAGCAAACGGGGAATCCAGACATTTATCAGAAGATGCTATTCCCTTGCTTAGGGTCCCTCTCAGTGGATACTGCACTGCTGGAGCCCTGACTGGTGGAGTTACTGCAGGCTGCCTGCTGGGAAGTGACTGGTGGGCAGCTGCAGCAGGGTAATGCTGTCACAGTGCCCTTGGCAAGACAACGCGGGACTAACAGCTGCTGCCGCACAGGAAGGTCACAGAGGTCAAACTGGAAAATAATTTATTGCACCCATTGGTATCACGAAAAAAGCATTCACATACAACAATAAAAAAAACTGAAAAAAGTTCTGAGACTGATACAAACAGCACCTATTAGAGATAAATTGTATTAAAATTTGTATTCCACCCACTCAGCTAAATGCAGCACTCTTTTTCTAGTCTAACGAGAGTTTTCAGAGGCTCCTGGACTGATGCACACAGATGGCCAGGCTGTAGCTGCAGTTACACTGAATAAGACCTGCTCATTGATGGGAATTGAAGCCTGCAAGACAAAACCTGCATGGACACAGCTGAACTAATAAACCCACTCCAAAATGGAGATAAAACAATTTGTCAATGTTTATAAGGGAGGGAGGAGTCCATTGATCAAGTAGATAAGGTAAATCACTACTGCATGTGAAAGACCAGACTCGACAACAGCTGTGCCTCACAGCTTAAAAATGACTTGTTCTTCTGTTCCTTAGTCCCTTCATATAATTCCAGCAAACATTGGAACAAAAATGTCTAAAATGTTTTGTCCCATTTTAAATATTTCACTGACATCTTCAGCCGGAGTTGTGAAAAGATAACTGTGACTAGGCAACTTGATTTCTACTACTTCAATCAACAGTGATGTATAGAATAGGGGTTACCAATCTTGTCCTGTAGATCAGCACCTGCTGATCTTTGTTGCAGCTGAACCTGTTAATTACATGCTTAAATTGACCTAACAAATTAGGATTGTTCTGCTTAGAAGTTTCAGTTGCCTATGAAACAGTAGTTAAAAAGTAACTCTGGACATGTTGAGGATCAACTAAATTACAAATTAATGGTTCAGTTGCATAACAGAACTCAGCTGGTACAAAAACCTGCAGATGTGGACGTCTAGGCTGGGAATTTTTATATCTGCAAACCCTGAAATAAAATAACTGATCTGCATTTCCTTTTAAGATTACATTTTTCCAGCTTTACCTGGAATGACTTATTGACCTTTCAAATAGGAACCAACCTCAGAAGTTAAAGTTAATACTGCAGTGCAAGCACAATAAATGAGAGCCCATCCCAATAGAGGGATGCATTTACTGTAAATGTTTAAACTGATTAAAAGGGAAATTGAAGAGCTTTGTTTTTAATTGCAATCCAGCCTTTTTTGTCAGCACAACAGTGAAATACTATTTCTTATACATTTAAAGTTCTTAAAAGAAATCAAAATGTAAGAACTACTAAAGTGATTATCTCCATTGGAGTTCTCTTAAAAATCGCTATCAGAAGACTGGGAAGCCAAACTGACAGTCAAAAGAAGATTAAAAACTATTACAATAATTTTACAAAATGAAATAAAAAATTAAAAAGCCAAATTGATTAGTGATGTTCCCAGCACATCTTTGACCAGCTTTTTGTGAATCTCAAAATACAAACCACATGTATACTAATTACTATAGCAGTGGAAGAACTGAAAATAAATTTTACTCCCAGACACCCTCTGGAATACAGCAATTTGCATGACAAGTGCAACGGGAGATCTCAACTCAAACTGTAATTAAATAAATAGGAAGGTCAAATTATCACAGCAGCTTCAGCTGTTCAGCTATAACTTCATATGTAAATTCTACAGACTAGACGGTGAGAGTACCGATGAACACTGAAATTATCACTTGGCAGTTTTATCATCACAGCCTTTCAGATCGTTTTGGCGAGTGCTCTTGAAACCTTAGAACAACAGAGATGGAGATGAAACTAAAGAAGCTGTAAAGTACAGCAAGTAAAGAAAACACACATCTGCTTCCTAATAGAAACAAGCAGGTGCAGTAAGCAGAGAGAGACCAGGCTTTGTGAAACAGCAGCGCAAACGATGCCACTGTAAAGGGCTGTAACTGGTGTGGAAGTGTCCCCTGGGACACACTGGGGTTTTTTACTGGCTACCAGCAATCACGCACTACAATGCTGGTGGTGAGGCAAAAGCCCCTTCCTCCTAATCTGCACAACACATTACAAGCATCACTGTGATAGTGTTCTTCAGAAACAGATTTAACAAAATGCAAAGTATATTGATTTCTGTATAGCTTTTCCACATTATTTAAAAATACTTTTCATTATTAGATGTTTTAAATCAAAATTTGGCCAGATTAAATATTTTATACTGTAATTTCTGTTTTGTACATTGTCTAATACATATTAATTTTCCAAACATCACTGGAGGAGTTAAAAAATAAAGTTCCATTATTAATATTTAATGCCCACCTCATTAATATTCTTAATCTGTGTACTTTCATTCTATGTTATAGTCACAGCTACTGTGCTTTGAATGGAACATGCCAAGAAACGGTCTTGTCTGGTTTCACAGCAAAATCTCACAATGACATTGTCAGGGCCTTATCAAATGGAATTACATCACTTTGTCTACAGAAAGATTGAAACACCCAATTACTGGGGCACCTCTGTCTTGTGGCCTACTGTATGAAACCTCTGAACTCTCAGTCCAAGGAGAACAGCATACAAAAATGTTTTACACATCAACTATCCATATTAACAAAAGAATTCAAAGAAGGTTTCCTGAAGTCGCTGCGACAATTTCTACTCTTTATTTCTCCACTTTCTGTGGAGGTAAAGGTAAATCTATCAACTTGTGAACTAGTAACACTGAACCTTAGAAACCTTTTGAAGTTTGAAAAAACGTTCCAGTAGTTTCCAGTGACAAAACATTTCAATACTCACATGGGGTAAACTGCACATTGACAAAAAAATCCCATAAATCACAGTAAACAATCGAATGCCTGGCTGCGATTATATTCAAGTCACCCAGTGTGCAGGAGTCCAGCCTTGCACGACAGTGCAGAGTAAATCAACTGAAAAGGGAACATCAACTGGTCAAAAAGTCCCACCACAGGGGAGTCTCAGAGATGACATTCAGAGTCTAATAACAAGGGAGAGGAAGCCACAGATTTCATCAGTCTTCTCTGTGAGAAGTGCTCATAGTTCTCCAGCTCAACTCCACTTGAGGCTTCAACAATAAAAACAGGACTGTATTTACAGGTGTACGAAGCGGTGGGGTGGGCCAGACTTTCCCACTGTCACAGCAGGCAGGCAGACAGTAGCTCGATGAAAAAGACAGGAGTCGGAAGTCTTGTCACTCTGAGGAAGTAAAGCGTTTCGTCGTCAGTGAACGTGCATCTTCAGTGAGGGCTGGTCGAAGGGGGTGATGGCCTCGTTGGCGTAGCCGTCGTAGCCATGGTCACCACACAGCGAGAGCTCCTCCGCGCTGCCAACGCCATTGTTGATTTCTGGAATCACCCGAGAGAGAGAAAGGGATCAGCCTACAGTGCGGTTAGGTGTGTGGCATTTCAGTTTCAAACTGTTCTTAAAAATCACAAAACCCATCCCGGGAAGTCATGCCTGAGAAAAGCTTTTATGCCAACACAAGACGCACAAAAAAATGTATTTTCTCGGGAGCAGACAAAAGAGCCTGATTATCAGGCCTTCGAAAGAGCATCAGCGCTGTCCTGTTAAGAGCCCAGCACTGACATGACCAGGATTCACTCACCTTCTGAGCCTACGTTACCAAAGCGCAACCCCAGAGTAAGGGGTGTGCTGCTCTCGGCTCCCAGTAAAGGCATGTGAAGGCGTCTCATGGGTGTGGTAGGGGGCGTGGTAGGAGATAAAATGGTAGGGAGCTGTGGGATGGAAGTTGTGGAGGAGGAGGAGGCCAGTCTGGCCGTGCCTCTCTTGTGGAACCGCTACGGTCGTTTACCTTTAGGAAATCCACAAGCACTCAGAAAGCATGCATGGTCAAGCATTTCGCACAAAAAACAGCAGCACATAAAAAGCAAACCTCCTCCAGGGGCTCAAGATAAACATTCACGGCAGAGAGCACATAGAGGCTCCCAGTAGTGTCATCACCTGAAAAGATGAGCTTCTCCTTCATGATATTCACATCCCGGCTGGACCTCCTCACTGCTGCACTCAGCATGATCTGCTCAGGGTTATAACTGCGGATGCTGCCCAGCCGCCACCTGCAACACGGCGCCAGATCAGTAAGCCGCTGCCACTTGTGCCTGTTCTGCACCCCCACAGGCGTTACAGGACATTATCTGGCTCTACGAAGTCTCTCATGCTTTCTCTGGGAGGATGATTTTATAAAACACCAGTCACGAGTGGCAGAGAGCTGCCGAGCCCCTCATGAATAAGCGGACGTAAATGACTGGATTAGCTACAGTGTTTCTTCTCTCTTGTGGTTCAGCTGAGTAGGAAACCATCATGCTCTGGTCTACTGATGACTGTTGGGAATGGTATGTTGTTAAGAACAGATAGTGGTTTTTTTTAGGCATGTCAACACTTCATAGAAGCAGTGGCTGAGCCAGAGGGATGAGACACTGGCGGGTTCTGGGGAACAGATGTTTCATGCATGGCATGGGGATACAGTGACTTGCCAAAGAGGCAGAGCCAAGTCACTCACATCATCACTTCCCATCCTGCACCAGCAGGGGAAAGCTTCTGCAGATGCGCAATATCTCTCACGAAACAAGCACAATAGGTGGGAATCGACATCAAATGGCATGAAATCAGAATTTCCCACCATTTATTCGACATTTTCATAACAAAAAAGCAAATAGTTTTATCCTTGGTAAAACAAATGTAGTTTACATAAATCACATTTTTGTATTACCCTTTATATTAAAAATGATTTTATTTCAAAGGGTTCAATATGGACATACAGTAAATGTTTAAAACTCATTAAATTGTTCTAATTGCTCTGTTGATAGGCTTTATAGACCAATCCACTAGAACAACAATGATTTCAAACATTTGTTTGAATGAACAAAAATGTACAGCAAAATGAAAAGCAATACAACATACGAACAATTTAAATCTACACCACAGAAAATAAGTTTTCAAACATGGAGAAAACTCTTGGTGAATGTTGAGCTGGAGTAACTCGAGGCAAAATAATATGTAAAGGAGAAAATAGAACACCTTAAATTATCATGTACAGTATAGAATAGGTACAGTAATGAACAGCCCGGGCAGGCAAACTGGAAAGACTCCCTTGTTTCGAATGAGGAGCATGCCTGGGCCAGCTCGTCTACTCTCATCACTGGGGTCCTCCTCTGTATCCACACTCCAAACAAGCATGCACAGAATGATTACAGATAAAGCTTTATCCGTTCCGACTTCAGCTTCAATAATATTGGACAAACTGGGCGTTTCCACTTTCACTTCTCTTGGAACCTGAAGTGAGGTCAACACATTTAACTTCATGTTTGTCTGGAGCGTGGCTTAACCCTGAAGACCTGCTTGAAAATACCACAATCTCTGCCCCTGTTCTAATTCAATGCACTTTTTTCTTTTGGTACAACAGTCCTCATCTAACTGTGCCTCTAGAAGGTTTCAGTGCCTGTGTAGTGCAATCCACACCTGAAACTAACACTGATTCTGCACAGAACAAATACAAAAAAGCTTATAATTCATTATGTTAATCTCCCCCTCTCCCATGAAGTGGCATTCATACTGCTCTTTCTCAATTTTCATAACTTGCTTTCAAAACTCATCCTAATACGTGGCTTGCTCTGAAGGGTGAGTGTGTTGCCCAATACAGAATATATTACAATAAGTAAAAGCCCAGTAAAGCAGTCCCCATATTTTGGTTGCTCTGAAAAGCATTAAAAGGTCTCAGTACAATGAACTGACTGACAAATTCTTCAAAGCAAGTAACATTCTAACATCTTTCTCATCTGGAACAGTACAGTTAATAGAGCTTCTGATGAGAAAGAGGCATTTCTGACTGGCCACTTGCGTGAGATGTCAAACTCTACATAGAAAAACCTCCTACACCCATAGGCAGCACAGCATTTGGAAGAAAGGCTAGAAGAGATAGCAAAAAGGAGCAAAGGATCAAGAAGCAGATAGAAAAGAAGAGCCGAGAAGGCTGGGAGAGGGAGGAAGAGGGTTGGTGAAGAAATTTGAGAGAGAGAAGAAAGGAGAGTGTCATGGGTCTGGAGAGGCGTGCCAGTTACCTGATCATGTGATAGCTGTGAGATGCCAGAATGCAGCACAGAAGAGGAGCATGCACACCAGTCAGAGCGGAAAGGAAAAGAACAAAACCAGGCAGAGAAAGAACAGAGTCAGTTTCTTCAACCACGACTGTCAGGCACAAGACACTTTGCCCAGATAGCCACTGCGGGCAAACGCCACAGCCCATCCCTGCTGCCTGGACTGGACAGGGCCCCCCACTTAGAAACACTACAGACAAGTGTGGGTTTTAATGGCCTGTGAACCCAGAAAAGTCTCACTCTTGTACAAACCAGCACCATTTATTACACCCACTGGGGTCCATCTCTATCAGGGGGGCATCATGTATTTCAGAAATTTTAAAAGTAAGGTGGGATTTTAATGACAAATTTAATTAAGAAGTGTTATGTACAGTAAATTATAACTGCATCACAGGCAGGATGACTGCCAGAAGGTCATGGACTAGTTCAACTAGTGCAATGTTGCTGCAGAACCCATCCATAATTCTTCTGGTTTCCATGATGTCCAGGAGCAAAATAGAACATGAGAACAATTAGGACAGGAGATCCCAGAGGAGGCTAGTGTAGTGTGAGTCATGCTGTTCTAGGGTAGTGCAGCTTTTTCAATAACAGACCCGAGTGGCTGAAGATCGAGTGCTACTACCCCAACAGTAAGGACTTGTCCTCTACAGTGTAGTACTTATCCATTACGGTTCATGTGCCTCAGGTTTGTGACTGTACTTTGTTTCCAGTTGAGGGCTGAATGGATAGGATCACCTAGAGACTCAGACTCAGAGTTCAGAACTGAGCAAACTGAGCTTCTCCCAGAATTTCTACCATCCGTGTGCAGCTGGGAGGAGACCTCACTCATGAACTGCCTTCATAGAAAAAAATTGTTTGTCGGCTTAAAGGCTCAATGAGTTATATGATAAATTCTAAACAATACAAATACTTAATTTATCTATCTATGAAATAATCCAAGCTACCAGAAATAATGCTTTCCGATTTACATCATAAGGAAATGTTCTCGATGTTTTGCTTTTTCTGGTCACGTATTGGACCAAACTGCACTCCTGCAGCACTCTGAGGCTTTGCAGTAGATGAAATGAAGTCATTAAGGGTTTGCAGGACAACCATCTACGTATTTTATTCAGGAACAGAACTCATGTCAAGAGGCAAAACAAAGAAAAAGAAAGGGTCAAGGTTAAGAATTATTTACATTTCTGCTGATGCACACCTGGTGAGCAGCTCTTATCAGCATTTTATCTCAGACATCAACATCAGAGGAAATTTACCAATTTGGGGGGAATTTCATGTAATCTAGACAGCAGCATTTTCATGAAAAACTGGATGAACAGCAATGGATGTTACTTAAATTCCAGCTACGTATACCATGGAACATTTCAGGAAATCCCTCACCACTCCTCATTCAGCTACAGTGCTTGTTCCAGTGATATTCATGCCTCTTTCTCTGCCTGTCTCTCCAATTTCAGCAACTAAGGGGATGAAGCTGACAAGTGATGCTCTGTGCTGAGACTACAGAATATCTCATTTTAGGGTTAAACAACAAACATACTTTGGAATTTTACCCACAGAGTTTTTTAGCCATAAAACAATTTTAGTCATTCTGGCACATAAATGGTTAATATAGACTTCTAATTCCTCTAACTAAAATACTTATTCAGATTTGAAAAGTAGTACTTTTATAGGGTGATAAGGTTGTTCGATACTGGAGTCACACATTATTGAGTAATCAAGATCCACTGTACTGGCTGGTCTTTGTGCTCCTCTGCTTTCCGTCCTGCTCAGAAATCTGAGCCTTCAAGATACTTGTTCATGAAACCTGTCTTTTGGAGTTAACTTTTCCCTTCAGATTATGAGACCTTAAAAACACTGAACAATCTGAAATGAGAGTCTTACAGCCAGTCCACTGTTTGCTTGTTTAATTACTTTGTTACCAGTAAGTGAAGTGACTAAATAGTCAAAACTTCATTTTTATTTTATTTTGCTGTTTGAGGAGTTGAAGCAATACAAATCACAGACTGGCAGAGTGTGTTGTCAAAGCTACTGTGGGGAAACCCAGGAACACCAAGGCTCCTGCATGGACCAATGTCTTTCCCCAAAGAAAGGGTCTCATAGGAAATCAGATAAGAGTTCAGGATGAAGTTTCTCCCCCCTGTGTTTGGAGAGCTGAAAACAATTAGATAGGGACAGCATAGGCACCATATTGAGATATGAAAATATACATCACTGAAGGAGGCCCCATCTCACAGTGGTTAAAATGCACATTTTTAGCAAGAAGCACAGCTTGCTCTGCTGTCTGCAAGTCCACAGGCACTTATTAAACAAAGATGGCACACTCCACTGCTTTAGTGAGCATCAGCCGAAGACAGGAGGATGGGGTGCGTTTTATTGCACTAGTGCATTCAGGACTGCTCCGGTTGGCATGTCAGAGCCAGCGCAGATATAAGGTGATGTGACTTTCGGCTGTTACGAGATCTATTTTGGGCAGAGAGCAAACACTTCACCCTGCATTGGAGGCCAATTATAATCGAGCTCAGTATCGCCAGAGGATGAATTGCAGCTCACAGTGGTTAACTCTGTGAGAGAACGAGACCCTGCACTAAGGCTGCTGCAGATGTCAAGACCAACAGAACTCTCCTGGAGATCCCACTAATTCTGCCCTGCCTTTGAAATGGACTTCGGTGCTTTCTGAGGCGTGTCCCCTGTAGGTCTCATTTTCTGAGACTCGTCTCTTCTCATCAGCAAAAATTTTGTACTGGAGAAACAGAACAGCAATAAGGTAAAAAAGCTGATGAGAAGTGGAGCCTTGGATTTATCGCAAAATTAGGGAGTTGTCATGCACATCCTCATATCTAGTATATCAGCTATCAAGCACAAAGAAAAGGTGGTACTTACTTCTGGAGTACAAAAATTCCTATTATTAAAGAAAACGAAACAAGATCCGATGTTATCCAGACCAGGCAGTATTCATCTGGAGTCTGCAAAAAGAAATAGAGCTGTTATCCTAAGATAAAGGACACTAGGTGTCAGTCTAACTTAAATAATATATAAATATCCTATATTGTAAGTACCTATAATATATATGCAACAGCGAGGGCTAAGCAAGCATCTAATGGTCTAGATCATAAAGACCGCTGAAACTAACAACCTATACAACGGCACTCGTCATGAGTCAGCCTTTACCAGACCAAAATTATCTGCTGATGACCAGAAAAAAAAATGTTTTGAGCACTGAGCCTTTCTTCTTCAATTTTCCAAAACCTAGAGGAGAATGAAGACTCTTTTAAGCACTTGCTATTTTCTAAATGATCAGAAAGTTGGACTCATACAAAGAATACAGACAGAGCACAAGAGGAAGTGAACAGTGCTCTAGCTACACATTGCCTGATTAAACCCCTGCAGGTCCTTGTGTTTGAACAGGAGTGCTCTGTTTCCTTACCATGAGCCAGATGGGATAAGGCACCTTTTTAAGAATGTGTGGGGCATCGGAAGAGACAGATGGCACACCACTGCACCACAGCACAGAGAACAGCCAGGGCTCGTTCACAGTGAAGAGATTCAGGCTGATGTTGGAAGCCGAGAACGCCCTGTTCAGGAACACAGAAACACCTTTTCATCCTGTTTTCATAAAGCCTAATTTTCTCCAGAAATCCATGAAAAGGTACCATACTTCGTTTATTTTTCCCCAATTCAATACCTTTGAGTAAATTTACTCCTACATTGGATGAACCACTTATAGTATAGCGTTGCTTTTAATTTATATGAATAATCAGGCGATTACATTTTTATGGATTCAGATGACACCAACTTGAAAAAACTTTTATAGTAAAACAAAATAGAAATGAATACTACATTTACAAGAAAGACAAAAAATAAAGCTATATAAAGAAATAAAAGCTGGAGTAACTTTGCAATTCAAATAGGCTTTACTTTTTAAATCCTTACAGAAACTTTTTAAAAGCAACAGTCTCACCAGTATAATTTTGTTCTTTTGATTTTAGCAATATCTTTAAAGTTCTAATGGCCAATTTCCCATTGTTTCTGTTTGAAATATTGTCATACAATTTTGGAGCTATAAGATAGCAGGAGCTCACTACCATGAGCACAGTCTTCCATTACCTGCCAAAGGCAGTGCTGCTGTCCACTGTGGTAGTGTGCACAGCGCGAGCAGAGAAGCAAATTACGTGACTCGGAAGCCTTCTCCCTTTTTTGCTTCAAGTCAATTTTTAAAATTGTAAACATGCATATTCATTTCATGTCATGAACACTTGCCAGAGCTTATGTCCAGCAAGATCTGGCACAAACGACTGTCCCTTGAGCTAGATGGGCAAATGGCCTCCTGTCGTTTGTAACGTTTTGGTTTTTATGTCTGATAGTGCTTCTCTTCTGTATTGAGGTCATATGGTTACAGCACGCTGCTTGAAAACAAATCCACAAATGTTTTATATCGGCAAATGTGTTTCAGTTGCACATTCAGGGTTGTCAGCTGATGAGTCAAGTTCTGCACCGTGCAGTTCGGCTGAAACTTGCATAACAGACAGCTGAAAGTTGAATTACATAACATCTGAGGCTTCCCACTGATTCACAGCTCAAGTGTATTTCTAAGAGAGCTTGGTAAGCCATATGCAAAGCAAACAAGGCTTTCATAATTTATAGAGTAGCAATGTTTTGCAGAATCAAATGCATCAAAATGGAAGATTGGGTCCAGATAAGACCTAATGCATCAGAAGCCTGCTGAGTTTTCTTAGTCTTGATTTAAGGATTAAAACTCCCATGTTGCTGCAAAACAGGAGACCTGCAGCCACAAGGTAAATGGTGGGAGGTGAAGATTAACTTGGGGCTAAAGCCTGTGATTTTCTATGCCGCAACCCGTCACCTTCACAGAGGTGGGGGGGGTTTAGTTTCCTTAGTTTGTCTAAAGGTCCCTGAAGCAGTCCATCATTCCTTTCACATCTCTGCTTTGCTGGCTGGGCACATCTTTCCAGGCCCTGGGGAAGCCAGGAGCGTGAGCTCACCTGATTTCCCGAGGGCTGGCCTGGTTGTAACGCAGGCTGAGCTTGACGATGCCTTCCTGCCGCAGTGCCTCCACAGACGCCTTCACTGCCGAGGTCTGCTGGAGTCCTGGCGCCATCCGCCGCACCAGCTGTCTGTCCGTGTGCGGTGTCCACATGACCTGGAGAGGAGCACACCTGCAGTTTACCACCCAGATCCATTAGCTGCTCACTTCCAAGCCAGGCTGGACGTGCTCAGCAGCCTCAGCGGCCTCCTCTCGCTTGTTACCTTCCTTACATTCACTGTCCAGCGTCAGCAGACCTACCACTGCGCAGGGCACACGATAACGTGCGGACGAGGAGGCGAACGCTCACGGGCGGCTGGTCGCCGGAGGTGCCTCACCAGCTCCTGCTGTATTCCGGACTGCAGCACCGTGTCCAGGGTGGCGTTGATCCAGCCGTCGTGGAAGGGGTGCTCCTCGGGGGGCCGGCGCAGGGTGAGGAGCACCGATCTGTTGTTCCTCGCTGCCAGCTGCAGCAGTTCCCTTAGGGAGCAAACGGACTGGTTGTCGGCCTGAGCCAAGTCCTTCTGGGAGAGCTGGTGCGCCGTCCAGAAGGGGTCGTCCTGGCAGACGGAGGCGGAGGACAGACAGACAGGAAGAAAGAACAACCGGAGTCTTAAATTCGTGCTTTTATGTCCACTGACCACTAGAGGTCTCTAGCGTACAGTTTTTTTTTTCCAGTAGTTCTTAACGGTCCTCTATTAATTGCTGCTCATCTCCATTATGAACGTGAGAAGGAACAAATAAAAGAACAATAATTGCGAAACATTTCTATACTTTTGTATTTGTGATGTTTGTGTTTAGCTTGAAAAAAACAATCCTGCTGTGTTGTGATCTCGGGCGTCCCGAGGGCAAATTCCGCAGTAACAGGCTGCTTCTGAGAAGAGTCCTGCCATGACTCACCCAGCTGTTACAAAAACTACTCGATACAGTCAAGAGCACTCATGCAAAGATAAACCAAAATGAACATGAAAACTCTGTAAATATGTGATTTATGTGTACAATTTTAACAACCCTCTACTGGTAATTTTCTATAACTTCATTACACCACGTTGCAAACCAAGAGCTCTGCAGTATTCCGAAAATGAAAACTATGGAAGAAGTCCGGCACAAAGGGAGGCCGCAGGTGGTACCTTCAGAAACCACTGTCCAGCGTTAAGAGCCTGCAGGTCAGTCCAGTTGAACATGGCGGCGTCCTCGAACTGCCTCTCGGGGAAGACCCACTCCACGTTGGTGGTCCTCCTCAGAGTGCGGTCCCGCATGAGGAAGGGCACGCCGTCCAGGCTGCGAGACAGGACACGCGAGACTGCGGCTTCCACTGCCGAACTCGACCATGCTCCACTCCGCCCCGACCCGCCCACCACACCACCCCGGACAGAAACCTGAGCCTATTCTCCATACATCTGAGTGAAATAAAGGAAGGAACCCATTTTATTACAAAGCTATTAGAAAATACTGGGCAAAGCTCTTTTTAGCTTCTTGGCTGGTTTCAACAGCTGATGAAGTCTGAAGAACTAGGCTGTCCTTAATGTTAAGGAGCGATGTACTAAACACATAGAAACAACTGTGCATGAACAGCACTTCAGTCATGGGAACATCTGGACACACTTCCTGGAGAGCTCCCGGGACCCCAACATGCCTGTGTTTTGCTCATTTTTTATGTCATCTATCACTAGCGTAAGGACGAGAAGCCACTGTTAGTTGAATATGCACTCGATGAACTTTCACATCTTACACCACCCACGTGCGGCACACACTGCCCATTAGACACCAGTATGTCCTGTCAAACACGCTCAGTCGAAACCAGCTCTAGAACATCCTTGAATAAGGCAAGTGCAGCTTCATATAATGCAACGCAAATGTGAAAGGAGATCAGAGATTAAAGTTACGGTGACAATTACTTGACACAGAGTCGACCTGGAGACGGATGGGTCTCTGAAGAGCCCATCGTCGCCAGAGCAGACAAGCTCTTCAGCTCATCTTATCTAGCCCCCTCTGTGCATGTCATTGTAGTCTTTTGGCCAGGGAGCCCTTGTCCGACGGTAGCTTGTGCATTCCTTTGTGAAAACACAGAAACACAGGCTGAGAGGCACCTGACGGTGCCTGACCTGCCTCTGACCTCCCACTCGACTGGCAAGCGTCCTCGCACGCTGCCCATCCCCCTATCGTTTTCCTTCCCACTTGCAGGTCGGTCCCCGGAGGGAGGCGGAACAGCCCCCTGCCGAGGCGCAGCTCATTACCTGATGGTCACGTCCACCTCCCATCCCCTGACCTTCTGCTGCAGGGCCTTACGGAAGGACATCAGCGTGTTTTCTGGAGCAAGCTGAGTCAGAAAAGAGAGACAGTAAGGTCACCCACAGAGTTCTGCGCTTCATGACCCCACAAGTACTTTGCTGCGATAAGGTGGAATCCTTACCCTTTAGTTGAAATGTCATTTTTTCCCCACATTATTTTATTAGCTGAACGTCAGAACCATTCAAGATCTTGCAGTGTAAATTCGAACATCAGTCCAAAATGAAGTTAACGTACTCGTTACCATAAACCAAGAAGAAATCCAAGTACAGAGGTGGTATAAATCATGAATTGATTCATGAAGAATATAGGCCTTTGGTTTCTGAGACTCCAAGATACCACAGATTTATGCAAGCACAAGAACTGCATAATATGAAAGATGACAATGAATACACAAACATGAATAAAGTAGAATGTCATACATATACAAAGCACAATTAAGCATCATATTCTTGATTTTTTCTTGACAGACACGGAATCTATGTGAAAAGTTTTAATGATTAAGAAGTGAGCATTCTAGCTCACTCCGCTATTCTATACCCACTTCGAAGTGATAGATGATTCAGGGACTGCAAGGACAAATCACGGCAAGAGATTGATCCACTTGTTTGACATGGAAATACCTCGATCAACAAGCCCTTCCCAGGTAGGATGGAGCTCAGATGGAAATATTGCAAATCGGCAGCTTGGTTATAAAATTCCATGGTTACAAAGACAGCCGATGCATCAGAAACTCCTGCAGGTGACATTAAGCTATAAACGTGTGCGAATGTTATTTACTGTAGGTGTGATTGCACTCTAATTCTGTCTATCATTTCACCCATGGCAACTGGAGAAAAGGCACAAAGCAGCAGTATTGCAGATGAAACAGGAATAAACCAACTTAATGAGTGATGTCTGTCTTTGCTCCTTGCCTGTTGAGGGGCTTTTAGACGTTATTCATTTTCCTTCTGGCTAACCCCTTTCAACACAGATTAGTTAAAACAAACACTGAAGAGCAGATGTAAGTTTAGGATTCTGAATTCCCTGAACCCCCACCAGGCCAGAATGCCTTGAGAAATCCTCTGAATTTTTCACACTTAAAACAGTAAAGATGTTTTTTTCATCATCACTTAGACCCTAAAAGTATTGTTACATCCAAAACTAAAGACAAGTATTGCATTACAGTAAGTACAGCCTGTCTCGCACACTTCTACCTCTCTGCTATCTGTAGCCTCTGCTTCCTAAAGAGTCATGATGGTCTCAGATTGTGTAATTGGACTCTCGGTCCAGCAGAAGAGCACGGAGCCCAGGACAAGGGGGAACACAGAGGCTTCACAGGGAGGCAGGGAGGACCATCCGACAAAACCACTGGTCCCCACTTTTTAACATTTGGAAAAACAACAACTCCCCATGATCAAGGCATTTCCCCGCTGAATTGCTGTGCCAGGTTACCCACCATTGGAGCTCCTCGACGGCCAATGACCTCAGGCCGAGGAGACAGGCTGCTTCTCTCCATCAGGCAGGGAGAGGTGATGGCAAGGGGCACCAGGTAGAGAGCCAGCAGGGCACACGCATAGACAAGTAAAAGAACCGCCTGGAAACCTGTGGAGCGAACACAGCATCTGTCCCATCACTCCTTCCTGGGACAGCCACACCCACCCCAAGTGACAAAATCAGATTTTAACAAAGCCTGCTGAAAAACATTTGGCAACTTCAGGACCCTCAGGAACCAGGGCTCACCAAACTGTAATGTGCAATGGCTACTTAAAAAAGGCAAATCAATTTAGATTAATACATTACATGCTATGCACTATGTCTTCATTTTAAAACAGCACCCAGGTAAGAGAACTGTTTCCCTGACTCATTGTGTCCTGACCCAGGACAATGACAGCAGCATCTGGACTGTGGGAGAGAAAGTTTCCCAAGGTCGTTATCTAAGGTTAGATTACGTGTTACAGATAGAGTAGCGGAAAACATCCACCTCTGCCCTCTGGGAGTGCACTGGAATTCTTCACGGCTTTTCAGCAAAGTGACAGACATTAACAAAGGACTAGGGCAGACTAGCTCATCATTTCCAACCCCCTACAATTTAATTATACCATAAAAATTCCTTAAGACCTTAAGTCTCTTATTGGAAGGATAACATGTTTGGAATGGTTCTCTTTTTTGAAACATGCAATAATAGTTCTTCAAAGAAAGACACTTAGATTGTATACTGCAACTTGCCATGAAGTGCAACAACTTGACACACTTGCCAATGTTTTATAATAACGATTTCCACTTGGTTTTACATAGCGATATTTGATCACTGTGGTCAAGAGGTACTTACCTGTCTTCTCTGACCGGGCAAACTGCCCCGCCACCAGCCATGCCAGCACTGTCATCACGGCCAGGGCCCCTATATGCAGGAAAGGGCCTTTTGCCTGCAGACATTGAAATAATGAGGATGAGTACTTTTTTTACACCCTCTGCATTATCCGAGCATTGAAGATAAAAGTCATGAAGATAAGTCAGAAAGATTGGAGGAATTTTCAAGCTGATATTGCACTGCATAGTGATCTGTGCCGTAATCTAATTACGGAGAGGAGAAAACATCTACTTCTGCTCATCGCAGCAAAGTTGACACCATATGGCATCTCCACTCTTGTTTTCGGACTTCAGAGCCAAGAAGGACTGCATACCATCTGTTGTCTATAGATATCTCCCTCACACACAGCAACTGTCATCATCGCCAAACCACACACTCTGCTGGCAGTTCTTCCACGATCCAGCCACGCTTGGAGAACTGGCAGGGTCTGAACTTGTTCCCCTGGGTAACAGTGCAGAGCATCACCCCCTCAGTCCCAGAGAGCCACAGGGGCTGCTGGCTTTCCTCATGTTTCAGATCAATTTCACTCTTGACTGATTTGGTCTGAATGACAGCTTAAGTCGCCTACAAGCTCGAGTCCCCCATGAGACCTGCAGGACCTGGAGCGAGAAGAGTTGCTGTAGGTGAAGCTGGAAATCTCATGGTTAAATGGAAAATGGTTCAGGGATAAGATCTGGAGTTCCTTCTGTACATGGCTGGGTGGGGGAAATTACATAGCTGTATCTAGAAACTAGCTGAGAAAAAACTTTCTTTTACCGCACTGAATAAATGTGGAGAGATTGTAGCTCACATCTGTCCAATACAGAACAAAGTGGAACAGAACTATCTTTTGCTCACCTGCAAAGAGATGAGGACAATATCCCACTCCTCCCTCCACAGCTGCTCCACAGACATCACCGCTATCACAGTGGTCACCAGCACAGCTGTCACTCCAATCTGAAGCGCAAGAAGACCGTGACATGTTTTCCATGTTTGACAGTTTTGCAAGTACAGACAAGAAAACAATCACAACTAGTTTACACCTGTCATTTTTTCTCAGTAGAAAGCAAATTTATAAAGCTTATATTTCTTGTGAAGACTAAGAGTGTTTGGGGTTTGACGGGAAATACTACTCTTTTACCATAGTGTAATTGAGACAATTATCAGATATGGGATAACAGTGTGGTTTGGTAATTTATCAGTTCCATTGAGATCGCAAGCTACCCATCTAATCCAAACAGCTTTGAAGGTCACGGGAGTGAAACAGCACCCCTCCCTGCAGACAATCTTTGAAAAATCCATAATCAAACAGGCAGGAAAAATTATATCAGATCCTTCCCACATTCTCAACTCTGAATACAAACTTCTTCCTTCTGGCAAACGTTTTAGGGTTCACAAATGCAAGTCAAACGGATACAAACATTCCTTTGTTCTACTAGCCCTTAAAGCTGTTGATGCAAATGGCAAGGATAAACACAATTTTTTACTTTCACAATCCACTTGTGTGCAATGTTTTGTAATGTGTTATAGATGTGCAGTAGAGTGATGTGTAATGTTTTGTGTGCATTATATTTAAATGTACAGAAGTGCTGTGTCTCCACAAAAAACATCCCTCAGGGGACAATAAATCTTATCTTAAATTTGTTGCACAGAAAAATACTTCAAGTATTTCAGCTGGCACTTTTTATTGAATGTGACAGTTAATTATAGAGTTATTACATAACTAATGTATAAACTTTATTTGTGGCATTTTATTTCAAGGGTAATCAAGCTGACCCAATATACAGTATTGCACTGGGACAGCTGTCAGGGGAAGCAGAAAGACTCAGAGCTGGAAGAGACGCATGGAGGCTGAAGCTCAGCAAACCGCTCGAAATTACCTTGTGGAGCCAGTGCAGGTTCAGCTGCTGTCCCACCGCCACATGGCACAGCGCTAAAACCTGAAATACAGTTGAACAGAATTTGTCGGGATTCATAAAAACAAATCTGTCCAAGAGACCACATGTACTGCAGAGCCTACTTATACTGGGCCTGTGAGTTCCACTTCTGTCTCTGCGATGCCACTCGATTAAAAACATTTTTACTGTGCTTTTGTGCACTTGCAGATGGGAATTTGGTGCCTAGCATGCTAATGCTTTATTGCTCTCATAAAACCTGGTGCCTAGTCAGTGACAGGAAAAAACATCTGTAAACCTGTTACTGTAAATGTTTGATTAGCAGGCTTACCATTAGAAAGACAATGTACGTGAAGCCAGCAGCTGTTGCGGTAAGTATTGGGACTGATCCATCGCTCCAGTCCCCTGATCTGTTATATAAAAACCTGCAAGAAGGATCAGAGGGATGCAAGGAGTCACACAAGACTGTCTTTTCTTCACGTGCCAGCTTGTCTATGACGAGAACACAGAAATATCTGCTTGACAAGTTCACAAACTCATCCAGTTTATGATAGAAATGCAGGACTAAAACAGGAACAAAGTAATCTTCTTCTGTGAATGCTGAGGAGATCACAGAACATCAATGTATTTTAACGATGAAGATGATCGTGATGGAAGAAAAATGATTCTGGCTCACACAGGCTTTTAGTGGAGCATGAGCAGCCACTGCAGCCCAGTGTCTGAAAAGCACTGCTAGTGTCTCTAATTGCATAACTGTCCTGATTAGCGACTCAGAGCTGTGACATCTGAAGGCCTTGCTGTGAGGGCAGAGTGCTACTCAATGAAACACAGGGCTTTGTATCTTGTTGGAAGGACGTGGCTGAGATCCCTCCTGTTCCCACAGTGGAGGTGGTCCACTGAGGAATTCAGAGGACAGGAGCTCCGCACAGTAAGACTGACCTTGAGCAAAAATTGCAAGGGGCTTTCACGACACCTGCATCTGAGAGCATCTGGAAAAGCTGAAAGGTTCAGAACTTATTTGAAACTTAATTTTAAGAAGAAAAAAATAAAACAGATCTCCGAAATCCCTTTGAGATTAATCACATCCAAAGCAAAACTACAGTATCATTACTACTAACATGTTTATAGAATAACATATGTTTATAGAATAATCTTGGCCTTGAGTCACTATAACTCAATTTTGGAAAAACAAGAAAAAAATAAAGTGACTTTCCCCCCCTCTTCACTCAAGGGAGGTAGATATTAAACTTTCTTTCAGCTTTGTTTTTACATCAGCAATCTAAAATTATGTAATGAGCAGAAAATTCACAGGTTTGGGGAAAAATAGCATTATGCTTGTTTGTAGTATCAAATATTAAAATAATTCTGATAAGGAAGGAGAAGCAGTACATTTTTGTTGGAAGTACACGCTTCACTATTATTCTGAGACTCTATTAATCTCACTGACACAGCCACCTGCACCCTGTGACTTGTGGGCACAACATTTCAATGAAAGGAAAGCGGAGACCTGATATTTGTGCATCAGTCTAAAGTCTGCAAGCCAGTAATCTATCCTGGTCCGTTTCCTCTGTGTCCAATGATTTCTGTGTCTCGGTATTGGTTCTGTGAGGGAATGTTATGGTCCCTACACAAATAACAGTCAGATTCTCCTGGGTTTTCTCGGAGTGCTCTGGTTTCCTTCCAGAGACAGGCTGCCTGGGGTGGACAGGCCACAGTCTGTGGTCTTACTGGCCTGCGGTCCTGTCTAGGGTGTGAGTGGATAAGCACTCTCCGTGAAGCCTTGTGCCCGAAGAATATTTGCTTCCCATCTCACTTACATTTACTGAAAATTCAAAACCAAAACACAGACATGAGAGGACTCACTGCCACCATTTAAAAAAAAACAGACATCTTGAAATCCAGCTCACCGGACTAAAGCACAAAAGCAATGAGAAACAGAACTGGGGGGTGTTGCCTCGATCACTTGACAGCCCTGCAGAGTGGGGCTTGCGAGAGGCTGCACAGCACAGTCAGCGCACAGGACAGGAAGACCTGGCGCCGTGGGGCCTGCGGGGGCTGCACTTGCATAGAGCTCAGCTCAGCTCCCTCTTCCTGTGGGGGCATCAATATTTTATTTTCTGAAGAGCCGAGACAGTGGTCCTCCTGTTATTATACTGTACTTTGTTCATTGTTCAGTGTGAAAGAGGTGCAGACTGAGTGTGTTTCCTTTCTTAGGCTGGACTGGACTCCCTCTTTGCCTGCAGCCCTGTTATAGAGGTTAGGAATCACAACAGTTTTCTTTTACAAGTGTTCAAGACTTCCAGCATAATTCTCCATCCCCAAAGAGCTCGGCGAAGAAAGGCACACCGCCGCATGCAAGACAAGCGTTCCAGCTCAATAGTACACGCATAGCTGGCTGGAGTGTTTCGATGAGCTGCGCGTAGTTTTAGTAGTACTTATGGAGATCATTCTGCTTTAGAGTGCATTCAAACTACGGGGAGGCAGCCAACTCCACCTCCGGTGCAATGTTTACCAAGCGGCTCTGCTGTGCCTCTTTTCGTTCAAACAAAACTCACCGCCAGCCATTAACAGGACTGAAATAATATCAAGACTGCCTCAACAGAGTTCAAGAAAGGACCAGTTTTTCAAGATTCAACCAAACTGGCTTCAGTTAAACAGACTCCATAAGCAGAGTGTCCGTCCTGTGTTTCAATACTTATTGACAAATTGTCTTCATGTATGCTCCTGGACACCAAATCAACTTCCACTGCCTGCAATAGGAATGCTTGGGGATGTGAAATGAACCCACTTCAAATCTCGGGGCAACAGATTTTGTCTGATCAAAATTTTTTTGTGCGTGTCTTTTGACTTACAGATTATTTATCTGTTATTAAACAAACACTCTTCCTGGATATTTTGCTGTACATAAGTGGGGACAAATGCCTGAAAGATCAGCTTTCCGGGCAGCAGATCCACATGCAACCACAGTAATGAGGCAGAATGTGCACTTTCTGCTTCACAGGGAGGGATGACCTTAGCAGCCCCTGCCACGACGGGCCAACATGAAAGCTGGTGGTTGAGATAATGGATCATGTTTTCACACAAAACAGACCAAACAACCCTGCCCATGTCAACATGCCCGCAGAACTGTACAGTTTATTTCCCTTGTACCAATTCCAAAACCCACTACTGCCCTCCTGCCACCATATACTCCTTCAAACAGTCTCTTTTCAAGCAGGGGCAGAAGAGCTCTGAGGAACCCTTTCCAGTACTCACCAGTTGAACTCATTGTAGTCGTTGTGGGCCTCCCACCAGAAATAAAACCAGACCAGCAGCAGGAAGAAGGTGCAGGAGAGAATGAGGAACCACATGCGCTCCCACTGAAAGACAGCAGGCAGAGACACTGCAGTTAGCAATCCGGAAACACGAGGAGGAGAACAGCAAAAATAAGCATGAGGAATTAAATGCATTGAAGGATGACAAGTACAAGGAATAATACCTATATAAATCAGACTTAACACATTCAATGTGTTGTGCACGATTACATAACCTTTAGGTCAGGACTGAAGTCTGCAGATTCAACAAAGCTTTAACATAATTTTTGGGAGGTTATATTAATATCTTCATGCTAATTACATCTCTGGTACTCCCAGAAAGGCCCTGTCCTTTTCACTGTCCTGCTCTCAATCTCACTGCTGAACACCAGGTCATGCATGTTAAGAAAAGGAAACGTCCAGTTCTGTGGCATTTTGTTTCTCAGAAGGACTCATGTCACACTCTTGATGATGATGTGGATAAAATAAAGATCCGTTCTCATAGTGAATTTGGACAAGGCTGCAGCATAAATAAAAAATAGATAATGTGATTACATAAAAACTCCTGTGTCTGGTGGTTTTTGTTCCAGGTGGGCCCTTTATCAACAGTGCTAATTGCTGCCATTGTTGATCTGCTGGTTTAGGCTTTTTAAAATCTGCTTTCAGATGAGATTTGTAACTGGCATGAGCCGTGTGCTAATGAGTGAATTTCAGGACTGCTCTCATTCAGGCATGCAGCTGATATATTCGACTGGAGTGGAGGAGAAAGACCAAAACTGTCTCAGTGGCGGAGGTGCCATTCCCACCTGCCCGTTCATCAACAACTGGTCACTTCTTAGGAGCTGTTTAGTCAGAAATAAGGGAGAAAATTCCTGATTAGTAAATTCCCATTCTGAATGCTGAAGTTGTTGGAAATAATGTGCTCTAACTGGGGCATTGTTTTCAAACCAAGGGCCAAGTGCAGAAAAGGTCTAAACCAGAGCAGCAGATGACTTACAGCCACAATCAGCATTGGGGATTAATGGCACATCTGGAATAAAAAAGCTCCAAGACCAGTATTGAGAACTACTGATCTAAAGGGTTAATGATTTGCTCCACTCCACACACAGCCTGGAGGACAGTGATGAATGCATATAATGCCACAACTTTATATACTGTACACACATAGCACTCCAGAGCATAGATCTCTCACAATCTTATCTCAAACACAAATGTTTCATAACTCATAGGTCATGTACAGGTTACATGGAAGTTCTTAAGAACAGAATCTTTTTATGACAACTGTACAGCCCCCATAACTCAATAGACTGGTTCCTGGAAATTGCCACTTGTGTAAAATATTTTAAATCTAACCCTAGGACTAAATTGTTCCTTTCCACAAATTAAAAAAATATTCGTAAAAATTATGGACTGTTTAGTATTCTATGCTTTTAAAACATTTTTGAATGGACTGTATTATTCTATTAATTCAGCCCTTAAAAGCCCCATGGGAGCACACTATCGCTACAGTAGGTATGGGCCCTAGCAACTTGCTTTTACAGCAACTGCAAGGTTCAAATAACTGGAATCACTGAAAAGTAAATTCTAAAAATTAATTTGCCATTTCCCTTATTGTCATGTATGTGTGCGCCAAAGAGAATATGATATTTAGATGTTCTGCATACCACACCCATAATAAAGAAACAAACTGACAAGATTGTCTTTGCAGGCTTTTGCTAGAAGCTTTGAGCCTTGAGGACACCTTCCACAGCCCAGTTCCAGACTTCATCATGTCAGTCCTGCTTAGCATGATATTGCAACAACTGCTGAAGCTCTTGCTTCAAGGTCTGAGATCATAAAAGCAACTTTAACTCCTGCAGCTTGAATGTATCCTGCATATGGACATAGTGCTATATGAACTGGTTCAATTTTTCTATTCCCTTCATCTGAAAGGAGCACCAATACATACAGAACGCAATAGAAAGGACAGCATTTGAAGCATTACTGTACAGTATCATATGTACCCCCTCCTGTCACGAACACTAGAAAACAAAGTTCAAATTCAGTACTTTACACTTGTTCGGTAGACTACCTAGAAAACAAAAACTCCACCACATGACTTTGTGTTATTTTCAGATATAAAAGGTCATGTTATCATCTAGAAAATTACTATTGACAGGCTGAAGGTGTCTGAGCCAGAGGTTTGCCATCTCTCATAGTACTCATTCAGACATTGATCCTACATACCTTTAGACTCACTGCCTCATACTGGAGCAAACTGCACCTTATTCTGCAAGACCCGTTTGAATAAGGAAAGCCATCTGCATAGGGAACCAGAAGCTGAGGTTTGCAAGGACAACTCAAGACAAGCCTTGACAACATGACAACACTTGATTTGATCAGAAAACAAAATCCACCAAATTTAGCACATATCAAAACTGTTCCAAACACAATATGCCACTTTCTTAATACAGCCTGAGTAATGTGTAGATGAAAAAGCAGAAGACGGATCATAATGCTCATAAGGACATGGAACAAGCCAGGTGTTTCCCAGCATAAACAAAAAGCAAAAAACTTTTACTTTTTATGTGGATTCCATGTGACTGAGTGTAAAGATACCTGTACTTATGCCCGAAAGGTACCTGGGCTTTGACTGGGCAAACAAAAATACTGGAGAGTGTGCATCACCTAAATAAACTCAGGGGAAGGGTCCTGGCAATGCTGCATCCACAGTGTGCTGTTTTATTGACTGTCTTATGCGTCTTTGGAGACGAGGGCAGGATTTGAATCATTTCATCCTGACAACTGAGTAAGAGTCAAAGGCACCACAAGAAACTGACACTGCATTCACTACTGCATGGAACCAGTGAGCCCTTTACTGACTAGCAGTTCATTTCCTTTGCAGTCATCGAGTGTTGCAAATCTGGATATTGAGACAAACTATTTAAGGAAAATAACCGAATGGCTGAGTGATTGGCAACCACATTCATCAACCCCTGGACTCGCTGCCTTCAGTTTCACTGCAGCGAAAAAATGCTCATGTTGCATTAAATCCAAGATATCTGGTGTCCTCAAGCTACAGATACCCTGCCATCCCTTACCCAGCACACTTACAGCATATAACCATGGATTTATTTCAGCTATTAAAACAAAACAGTTCACCTGATCTGCAACTGTTCTTTTACTCTCAGACTTGAGCTGTATCTGTTAAAGATGCATTTAAATGTCTTTGCAAAACATTCATTTTAATAGTGTTTTGGCAGATTAATGGCCATCAGGATCTGCCGAGACCAGCTGTTCTTCCCAGCAATGCGAGCTTGTGCGAGGGTTACTGAACAGGCTCAATCAGTTAATTAGTAGTGATTAAAGAAGACATTTGAACCCTCCAATGGTTTCAAAATATTACTTAATACAGTGTATGAATTCAGATGATAATTAAAAATAATGGATTAAGCATACGCTTTGAAATTTGTTTTAATTAGATCTGGAAACATCAACTCCTGACAGGATTATCACTGAACTTCACAGAAATTAGGGTCTGTCTGCAGTCATTGATGTCCAATTCATCTTCCAGAAGGTAATTGCTTTTTAGTAAAGGCACTTATTTAATTAGCTCATGGGACTTATTTCGTGATCTTCCATACATTTCAAACATTAGGCAATGGTATCATGAACTAAAGCACTTTTGTTATATTTCCAGGATGTGAGAAACACTAGGGAGTTAGACTTCACTGGCCAGTCATGTTAAAAAAAACAAGTTCCAAAAACAGCTTAATGATCGGTATTTTATTGCCTATGAACTAAAAAAAAAAACACCAAATCAGGGAGCCACAATAACATCATGGTAAAAACAAATCCACTGTGATGTTATATTATTTAGTGATAAGTTACATTTATGGACCACTCTAGACCAGGACTGTGCAAATTAGTTGCCAAAGAGTTTCCAAAAAAGGTGCAAATAGATTATCCAGATGAGTAACTAATAGCAAAACCATTAGTCTGTGTAACCATAACCCAGACTGAAGCAGGTTAAAGCAGAATGTGCAGAAGTAGGCAGAACATGGACAGCACACTAAACATTTTATCCACAAAGCTTTTATTTCAATATCTGCCAGGTAAGAGGTAAGCCTGCAGGAACAACTGTAGACGCCTGGCTTTGAATCTGCTGGTGTTCCCAGCAACAGAGAAGGTCAGTTTATGGTAAGTGCATGGAGCAATGAGATGTCGATAAAACAGTTACCTTCCACTTCACGACCAGATGACCTAGTGGGTGATCAGGACTTAGAAAGCTGATGGATCATGGAGCAAAGGGCCTGGAGCTGACCGCAGCAGCTGCATCCATTCACAGCTGCAGAAACGAATTAATCTGCTGTAACAGGAGGGCCTGGTCTGTTGAGGAGACTGAGGAATTGGCTCCATAATGAACACATGGCCTGGAGACAACGTCAAGCACACTCCTCAATGACTAGTGGCAATTTTGACTAAGTCTGCACCTGATTCAATCAAGTGATACAAATACATACAAATAGGCCAGGAGCGTTCTTCTGCCTCACAGCCAGTGTAAATGTGGGAATGCAGTTGCCCACAGGCAGACTGGGGCACTAGTGGCCCAGACTGTACCACAGACAGCAGCTAATTCTCTCAAGATCCACAGCTGCCTCGGCCTCACCCTCTGACTGCTTTCATTTGAGTGAGATTGTATCAGACTCTTTTCACTTCATACAGATAGTGCCCTGCCAACACTAGCAAGTCAAGTGTGGCCAAGTTTACACTTTATCTACAGTATACTCCAAACTGACTGTCATCTCCACTTGATTACAGTTTTATCAGAAATCTATAGCACATCCTGCACAGAGCTAAGCTATTACAGCTTTCCTCCTTCTACGAGTTGTGCTGAAAGATTGTCAGTCTTCCTTACTGTAAATATGAAAAACGTAAATTCTGTAATTGAGCCTTGTGACTCACCCAGCCAGAGTTTATCCCAATTTTTGTTTAGAAGCGTGGCATAAGATTGTGTCCCCTCCTGGGATTTGACACTGGGCCTACACAGGGTTAACTCCCAAACTGCTGGCACTCATTTAGACAGG